GCCGCCTGGACTTGCCACGTGGGAGCCGCAGAGCGGCGGCGGCGCCCGGCAGCCCCCCCTGGAGAGGGGCAACGGGGCAACGGTGTCCTGCCCTCGCTCCCCCGCCTGACACGCACTTCCGTAATTCCCACCGTAAAGGCAGAAATTGTAAAATAATCACTCCCACTCCAGAGATCTACCAGCTGGGACATAGGAGGAGATGGTCATATCAACCTAAGGTCGTATGCAATTTCCTTTCGACTTCTTAAAAGCTAGCTAACCTATGGTGAAATGCTACCTATCCGGAGCACTAGAACGTTGTTGACCTTAAATGTTTGACTCAAGGAGAAAAGTAGAGCTTGGATTATACACCTCACGTTTATGCAATTTATTTAGGAATACAGAAGTTAGAAACGTTTTCCTCCTGTACACACTTTTTTTCACTATTGTGTTGGTAACTGGGAAGTCATTCCGAGTCCCACTATACAAAACTTAAGAACACAAAATTGTTTCGTAATTCAGATCCATATTTCAGAATAATTAATAACTGTAACTCTCATTATTAAATATCAGGTAGAATATTGGAAAAATACATGGTTGCAGAAACTAAACTGCATTGACCATAGTGAGTATTCTGAGTCTTAACTTTCCTCCGAAAATATAAAGCCCAAAACTTAAGTAATAGCTATGAATTTGGGAGTTTGTGTTCCATGGTGAGAGGAGAAACAATAAATGCATTCTGAGAGCCTTCGTGCTTGGGCCTTGCTGGGCCTTTGGGGATGTGTTCTTATTTAATGCTCACAACTCAACCACAGTAGATATTATCTGGGTTTTGCTTTAACAAATCAAATAAACAAACAAAACAAAACAACAAAAACAAAAAAACCAAGGATTTCAAAGCTGAGTTTAAATAACTTGTTCAAAAAAAGGCAGTAAGTTGTGAAGTTGGAATTCCAGCCTAGTCCATCTAGCTGCAAACACACACGGCACTTTGTTTCTTATGGTCCTAAAACACATGTCCTGTCACCATGCCTTCCCTACTGCCCCATGTCCCACTAAAGAATTTAGAAGCCTCTAGAGTAGGGAGGTCAGGCCATATTTGTGAAAAAGCTTTTTGCTCCATAACCAAATTGGCCTGTACAGAAATGACATGTGCCATATTTTTTTTAGCACCACACTTGAAACAATTTCTGAACTGCAAGTGTGTTTGGTATCCAATGACCATAATATACAGCTTAGGACCCTTCAGTAAGTAATTACATTGATAATAGTGGGTCACAACCAACATTTTGCTGTTGATTCACTGAAAGAGATTAGAACACAAACATCAGAGTTCATAGCACAAACTAAGGATAAGTGTTGTTTCATAAAACATTTGTACAGTATTAGGTATGGTTGAGCGTCTGGAACACAGTGTTCTGGGCTACCACGTAAATTATATTTCTTAATATGGATTGCAGTGTTTAAAAGTCGGTAAATCAGTTCTTTAGAACATTTGTTAATCAACCAGTTTTTTCACCTACTTTTTTACTTGGCAAGAGGTAGGGAGGCTGGAGAAGTAGTCAGGATTAATGATTAAGTGTAAAAAGACTACAGAAAACTTTGCCCCTCGGATAGGCTTAAACTAAACTAATGTTGCTATGTTACATAATAATACATAATGATAATTTACATTTGTAAGGCAATATTTATTATACATTTGCTGTGTGCCAGGCTCTTTCCTAAGAGCTTTACATATATTTACTCATGTAATCCTCACAATAATCCTATAAATACAGAGGAGAAAATTGCATGACAGAAAAGGAAAGGTGCCCAAGATTCTGCTAGTACATGGCAGAGCCAAGTTCAAAACCACATGCCCCAAATTCAAAGCTCACCCCTGTCTATAGTTGAAACAAAAGTTCATTCTCTCTTCAGTGGGTGTGGGGTTTTACATAAAACTATAACTTATACTATACTATTTCCCACATAAGGATTACATAATATTGGTAAAGTTAAAACTGGACGAAAAGCTTCAGAATATTAATTGGACCCATTCTCAAGCAGAATATTTCACTTGGCATCAGTTATCTGTAAATGGAGTAGGACCTGCAAATACAGCCACCATCAATTCCTCCCGTTCCTGGAAATTCATGTCACCTTTACCATCAATTAGTAGAATCTATAGTTCCTCCTCTTGTTGCGGAAAAATGTGTTACAGCTCGGTGTTACAGCTCAGTTGTGACAGCAACCTGGATCCAAGCGAGAGAACAAGCAGCACTGGGAGAGCTGGAGAACTCAGGTTTATTACACCACCACGCCCAGAGGAGTTAACACTCCAAGCTCTGGATCCTGTCTGTAGGTTTATACAGGCCTTGATAGGCTGCCAGTTTTACACATTGCAAAATCATATGCAAATAAAGTATAACAGAAGTTGACCAACCAGGAACAAGCTTTGTAGAACTAGACCAATCAGGAGTGAGAGAAATAACCAATCAGGAGTGAGGGGACTGGACCAATCAGGAGTGAGAGAAATAACCAATCAGGAGTGAGCTCCATGCAAATAAAGTACTACAAGTGGACCAATCAGAAGTTAGGGAAGTGG